TAACTTGTAAGGAAGTTCTGATATATTTCCTAAATAAATTATAATTTGTTAAACAAAAATTTTGTTTTCTGCAATATAACGCGAGGTAACTCAACGAGTCATAATACGGCGCATTTCAGTACAACACAGTGATAATATAACGCGTGGCAATATAATACAATAAAATACAACACGCAGCAATATAACGCGTAGCAATATAACGCGAGGTAATACAACGCGTGGCAATATAACGCGAGGTAGTACAACGCGTCACAATATAACGCCTGACAGTATTACACGTGGAAGTATAACGCGTTAAAATACAACACACGGCAATATAACGCTTGGCAATATGACGCGAGGTAACACAACGCGTGGCAATATAACGCGAGGTAGTACAACGCGTCAGAATATAACGCCTGACAGTATTACACATGGAAATATAACGCATTAAAATACAACGCTTGGCAATATATCGCGAGGTAATACAACGCGTGGCAATATAACGCGAGGTAGTACAACGCCTCAGAATATAACGCCTGACAGTATTACACATGGAAATATAACGCATTAAAATACAACGCTTGGCAATATATCGCGAGGTAATACAACGCGTGGCAATATAACGCGAGGTAGTACAACGCGTCAGAATATAACGCCTGACAGTATGACACGTGAAAATATTACGTATTAAAATACAATGCGTGGCAATATAACGCGTGGCTATACGACACGAAGTAATAACACCATGTGGCAATATAACGCGTGGTAATATAACACGTAGCAATATAACATATTAAAATATAACGCATAACAATACAACGCGTGGCAATATAACGCATTAAAATCCACCATTTTAAAATACAACGCGTTGCAATATAACGCGTGACAACAACACGTCAGTATGCAACGTCTATCAATCAAACTCATCAAAATACAACCCACCGCAATATAACGCGATAACGCAATTTATCAAAATAGAACGAGTAGCAAAATAGACGAAAATTCCATAAATTTACGATAGGAAAATTGTAATCCGCACGCGGTTTCTCATTTCATAGAGTGAATTGCACCATACTATGCATAATAACGCACCGTGACACGATGGATTACACCGTGAGATATCACGTAATCCCATGATCAGGATTATAATGTGATTTGTCGCGAAATGACCAGTATCACTCCATAATCTCTGGCGTCGTGATCTAAATCACATTGTGATCCCTCTCACGGTGAGCAATAAGCTACCCTATAATTTCAATTATCGCATCAGACGTGCAATATATTGCTATTACTGTCGATCAGTTACTGTGGATTTTAATCCACCATATTTATCTTCCCTCTAAATTTATCTTGTTTACGAGACGTTATTCGTATTATATTTTATTTATACTTCTGCGTTATGAAATTTGATAGGTTAGGTTTAGATTAATATTTCATGTTCATATTTCTAGTTTAGATTAATATTTTATATTAACATTTTTGACGTACATTAATATTTTTAGTTTGCAATAATTTACAAATTCTTTGCTGTTAATTATTTTGTAAGAAAAAGTTACACAGGTTGGTGACCTTAACATACATATATCAAGGTCAAGGTCAAGGTCATTAGAACTGGGTCCCGTTTCATCAATATTTTTGCTCAACGTAATGTCACTTATCACGAAATCAACGATGTGTTCGGTATCATTTTTTATAATATCTGACACGTTTAATCTGACACCATATTTCTGCATCTCATTCTTGTTCCACCTACACTAAACCCGAAATACATCTGAATACGGTCCGCACAACCAATAAGAATATCAGCGATAAATTCCACGAGTCATTCGGCGATCACGGCGCGGCAAATGTTAATTAAGACATCGGTTGCTCGTTAATTCGCTAATGAGCAATTCACTATGGAAGGTTTAATATAGATCGCAAGCGGAGAATGTCGAGGCCAGACTGTTCAATGTTGTAGCTAGGCGCCAGGCCAAGCTATTAAATAATCGAGCGAATTATACGGCTTCCTGCATGCACCCCGTTGCACCCCTTGGTGCTTGGTTGCCTGGTTGCCTGCTACGTCAGCCGATCAGGTGCCAAGTGCAAATTTAAACTCACAGTTTCCTGGCTCTTACCGTTTGCTAGCCATCCCCCTTTTGCTAGAATGTTCTTTCCACCCTCCAGATCGAACACGATAACGGATATGTCGATTGTGCATGGAACGTTTACTATGGAATCAAAATTTATGGAGCAATTTAATCCTGGGATGAGTTTTAAGAGTAACCGTACGGCCGCGTAATGGACACGTACTTTAGTTTGGGATTAAAAATGGAGGAAGGTGGGGGGACGAAATGGAATCGAATGTATGGAAATTGATTATCTTTGGGAGAATCGAAGAGTTATAGTAATTTTAGGGTGGGGTATTTTGAGGTGGAATTGTTATGGTAGATTTTTGGTTTTGGGCTTTGGGGAGAGTTGGTAAGGTTAGTGGGGAATTCTGGGAGTCTGGTTGTTGTGCAACGTGTGGAGATTTGGGGATTTGGGAGATTTGAGGTTTGGGAGATGGTCATTTTGAGATTTGGAAGTTTGGGAATTTGAGAATTTCGATATTTGGGGATTTTGGAATTTGATAAGTTTGAGATTTGGGGATTTGGAGATTTGATGATTTGAGGATTTGGGGATTTGGGAATTTGAGAAATTTGAGATTTGGGGATTTGAGAAATTTGAGATTTGGCGATTTGGAGATTTGGGGATCTGAAAATTTGGGGATTTTGAGATTTGGAGATGTGGAAATATGGGAATTTGGGGATTTGAGAAATTTGAAATTTGGGAATTTGAAGATTTAAGAATTTTAAGATTTGGAAATTGAAGAATTTGGAAGGTTGGGGATTTGGGAACTTTGAGATCTAGGGATTTGGGAATTTGAAAATCTTGAAATTTGGGGTTTCACAATTTTAAAATATGGTTACCCAAGAATTTCTAGATTTGGAATTTGATAATTTTTGAATTTAGAGATTTGGAAATTTTGAGATTTGTGAATTTAAGAATTTGGAAATTTCAAGGTTTGAGAATTGCCAAAATGTTATACATATATGGACAGCTAAATTATTATAAATTTGAAACTTACAATATGAATTGAGGGTTTAATAAATTTTTAATGTAATATCATCCTCACCTAATTCCTCCAATTAATTATCACTACCTCAGAACAATGCTATTTACAAGGAAAGTTAGCTTAAGCAAACCTAACCAAACCCGCCCTAATTGATTATCTTTGGCAGATGCAGATCAAAGCTGTGCACCAAGAAAGTTAGCTTAACCTACTCTAATCGAACCTAACCTCCTCCTATTGATTATAGTTGTCTTATGCAGAACAAAGCTATTTTCCAAGAAAGCTTAACCTAACCTCACATAACATAACCTCCAATTAATAATTGTTAAATCATACATACATGTATATGTATACATATAATTGCACATGTATGTGCATATCAACATTATATGCATATATGTGTGTATACATATATAATCATACATACTTACACACATACACATACGTTTATATAAATACACACACATGCATACGAATAGTTTCCACATATGTATTTCCACATATGTTCATACACTCGTACATATACATATACACTCATATACATATGAGTATGTATGCACATATGCATATATACTCATGTACATATGAGTACGTATACACATATGCATATATACTCATATACATATGAGTATGTATACACATATGCATATAAAAATTTTACGTATTATATTCATAAAATTATACAACCTTGCACACATACATATGAACCCTTCGCACCATATAGCATGTCAGTATTCAACTGACCTACCAACGCAAAGATTAGCATAAAAACAAGGGGTGTCAAATTTTGATCGAGCGACCCGACTTTCCCTCCGCAATACACCTTCAAGCAACAGACAAGAAAGTAGAAATTGTCGAGCCGCATTCAGAAGTATAAGAAAAGTGTCCAGAGTTCTGCATACTTAATAAAAAAAAACGGTAAGCTCTTAGGTTCGATCGCGATAAGGGAAAGCAACCCTCTTGTGGAAGCCGACAGCCGTCACCCTATCAGGCCACGATTTACCCCAGAAGCACGCTAGACACACTCGGTGCCGTGTCTCAAGTTATCCAACTACCTAACTAACAACGTAACGGCTAGCTACTTCGAACAACGGTAGCCGTTCGTTGTTTCGTACACCTGCGCAAATACCACATCAACAGACGTCTCTTCAAGGTTCATACAAATAACAAATTTGCGAGTCGTGCATATACGAAAATGTAATTTAGACGATTTTGCAATTTGGAGAAAGACTGAATTTTTCAGAATAGGTCATTTTGCATAATAGGTATTTTTCAGAAGTTTTAGTAACTTTTTAGGGGTACAGCTTGGACTTGCATGAGACAACTATCATTACTCAGAGGAGGTTATGTTAGGTTAGGTTACAAAATACAAACAACAAATTTGCGTGTCGCTCATATACGAAAGTGTAATTTGTGCGATTTTTTAATTTGGAACAAAGACTGAAGTTTTCAGAATAGGTCATTTTGCAAAATAGGTATTTTTCAGAATTTTTGTATATTTAGTAACTTTTTAGGGGTACAGCTTGGACTTGCATGAGACAACGATCATTACTCAGAGGAGGTTATGTTAGGTTAGGTTACAAAATACGAACAACAAATTTGCGTGTCGCTCATATACGAAAGTGTAATTATACGATTTTGCAATTTGGAACAAAGATTGAATTTTTCGATCAATAATTACGCAGAATAGGGACTTTTCCGAATTTTTATATTTTCTAGTAACTAGCTTTTACTTTCATGAGACAAGGATCATAAATTCACATATGTGAAATATACTGCAAATAATACTACACCTCCGTTATTATTTCTATATTATTTCTATCAAATTATAACAAATTCTCATTATGCGATATTTCACTTAATTTTAAGAAAAATGTCTTACAGAACATTCTATTAACCTTGTTTCTTCTGATTATTTTTACAGTCAGCGGAAACGACGATATAGAGGATTTGGATCCGGACGTTCAAGACTATAGCACTGATGAGGATTACAATGACGTTTTCGATCCAACTACCAATGGGTATGTCATCAAATTTTATTTCTTTTGTTATTAATGAATTTTTGTTATTTAGTTTTATTTTGAAAAATTAGACAAAATGGAACACTTTGAAAATTGGATGCTTAGGAATTTTAGAATTTAAAAATTTGCAAACTTGAAAATTGGGAAATGGGGAAATGAAGAATTGGAAAGTTGGAAAATGGGAAAATCAACAAATTAGGAAATGTGAAATGGGAAATGTGAAATGGGAAATGGGAAATGGGAAATGGGAAATGGGAAATGGGAAATTTGAGAAATAGGAAAATTAGCAGATGGGAAAATTGCAGAATTGTATGGGAAATTGGAAAATTGAGAAATAGGAAAATTAGCAGATGGGAAAATTGCAGAATTGGAAATTGGTAAAAAGTGGAAAATAAAAATTGAAAAATGGAAAAATTGGAAAATCGAAAAATTGGGAAGTTGGAAAATTGGAAAATTGGGAAATGAGCAAATTGCGAAATGGAAAAATTAGGAAATTGCAAAGTAGTGAAATTTGGAAAATGAGGAAATGGGGAAATGAGGAATTGGAAAATTGGGAAATGGGAAAATGGAGAAATGAGAAAATTGCGAAATGGAAAAATTAGGAAATTGGAAAGTGGTGAAATTTGGAAAATGGGGAAATGAGGAATTGGAAAATTGGGAAATGGGAAATGGAGAAATGGGGAAAATTGGGAAATGGGAAAATGGAGAAATGAGAAAATTGCGAAATGGAAAAATTAGGAAATTGGAAAGTGGTGAAATTCGGAAAATGGGGAAATGAGGAAATAAGAAATTGGGAAATTTGGAAATTGGAAAATTTCAATACTTGGAAATCCGAAAATCTGCAAACTGGAAAATTTGGAAACTTGAAAATTTAACTCTGTAGAATAAAACACCCCAAAATCAAGTTACAAATTCCCCCTAAAAATAAAGAACCTAACAGGAACCCTAAAAATCTCGTGAAAAACGAAAGTATAAAATATATCCACGTTCCGTAGAAATCTTCCCATTTCCGAAATCTCCGCGAAGGAATCACGTAAGCGAAATGCAAGACGGGGTAGGCGGCTCGATTCGTTCGGAATTTCGATTGGCCCTATCGACGCTTCCTGGCCGAATTAGCCTGTCAGAAGGAACGAGAGAATTCAAATTTAATCACGCCCACAGCTCAGCCAGTTCGACGACACACGGGAAGTGGCATTATTACCTTTCGAATCGAACCAATCGAGCCGTTTCCTTATTAAGCCCTGCGGCATCCCCTGCTCTCGCTTTTCCATCATAGCAAACCCATGAAATCCTCCGAGCACCCATTCCCTGCCGTATTCTCCTCCCTTTTTTAATTTCACCTACATCCCCGATAGAAAATTTTACTCTTCCCCTTTCTACTGGGATTCTCATCGATATCGAGCGATAAATATGATTGAAATATACGACTGTCACGTGACAGGGATACGGGGGGGTTTTATCAAAATTAGCGTACTTGGAGTATAGTTATTATTATCTAACTTTGGGGAATTGCACAAATTATCAAAATTTGACAAATTTTTAAATTTCTTAAATTTAGTAAATATACCAAATTTTCACTATATTATATTTTATCAAATTTCCTAAATTTTCTAGATTTCCTAAATCTCCTAAATTATCTAAATTTCCTCAATTTTTTGAATTTCCTAAATTTCTCAAAATTCCTCAATTTTCTAGATTTCCTAAATTTCCCAAATTTCCTCAATACCTTAAATATCCTAAATTTCCCAATTTTATCAAATTTCCTAAATTTCTTAAATTTTCTTAAATTTTCCAAATTTCCTTAATTTCCTAAGTTTTCCAAATTTCCTAAATTTCTTAAATTTCCCAAAATTCCTGAATTTCCTAATTTTACCAAATTTCCTAAATTTCCTAAATTTCCAAAATTTCCTAAATTTCCCAAATTACTTAAATTACTTAAATTCCCTAAATCCTCAAAAATTTCATAATATCCCAAATTTCTTCAAATTTCCCATTTTTACCATTTTGTAACTTCCCAAATTTCCACAATTTCTAATTCCACCAACGTCAAAAATTTACTCCAAAAAATAACATTTTACTAAAATTATCTGGAAGTATAGTACCACGATAAATTGCACTATAATGAAGAGTTACTTGAACGCGAGTTCAATATGCTTTAACAACTCCAAAGTTCCAAGTGAGTTCGAGCGTACTCAACTTATAGCTTGTTTCAATAAATTCTTATGAGGGTTCTTCAAAGTTGCCACGCTAAAATTAATCACATCCTCCAGGGACAACTAATTTCATAATTCACGAGGCCCTAAAGGAGCGTAAATGTATTGCATAGTAACATGAGATAAAGTCAATTTAAACTTTTCGTTCGATATTATAAATTTTTTCTATGTTCTTCACAAGTTTGCAAATTGATATGTTAACGAACGTGCAATATTTAATCGTTTGAAGAAAAATGAAAAATTATTACTTGTAAAATTTCCAATATATTCATATAAACTTGAGCTGTATCAAATGTTTTATTTTATTTTTATTATTAAGTGTTATTTTAGTTTGTTATAACAATTCAATACAGCTGATTGATATTAATCATGGAACTTTAATTTTGAAATTTATTATGAGCAGCTTGTAAAGAAATAATTATTAGAAACTTATAATAATGTATCGCCTGTTATAATTAATAATTACTCATTTTGTATAAAAAATATCAGTGAAACCTTTATACAGTAACTTTTAACAAGCTTTCCCCTTTAAATTGATGTACCATAAGTGACCCTTTCTGAAACTTTTATGTCATCTTTAATATTCAGAATTTCAGTTAAATCTGTACCTGTCAAGCACCTATGAATAATTCCTGCATCACAAAAATATTTAATAAGATTTGTCAAGAATCCCCAATGAAGTTTTCAAGTTAACCAGTCAACGCGTTAATGCGTTGATTAATTAATCGCAATCAGCAAGTTCGCTAACAAGGTTCATCGACTGAAGTTCTTGGTATGAAAGACGTCAGTCGAAGCGCGTCGAGGCGAAACGCCTCATGGAAGTTGCAATCAATCGTGACTTCCGGTCGATCTCGACTCGGCTGGGAGAAAGTAATCGCGTATATTAGAGCAATATAAATCCGTGAGGGCGGACGTTGTCGCCACGACACTGTGACTAGAATATTAAGTATGAATATGTTAATGCACTGGCACCCCATTCTTCTCACCCTCTAGCCAGTTGCAACACGACGAAATAATGCATACTGCGCGGACTTCCCTCTTATCGCTACGGTGATATACGATCATGGGGTCGCGTCTATTTACTCGAGTGTTTCTGCAAATGGACTGTCCTCAAGATCTCTTACGTTTCTTCATTTTTCTTTCATTCTATATCTCTTGTCTTGCTTCCAACCCTCTTGTGTTACTTGCTTCTACATCATCATTTTAATTATTAAATTGTTTTCTGAGAGAAGAAAATTTCTTTCTGTGATCAACTGATTATTGTAAACTTGCTGTAGGGGTAGTACATCTTTTAGAGTAAAATGGAGGGGTGTTTTAGTAAAAAATATGAAAATTATGAATTTTCTTTTCAAACTTCCACCTGCTCCAATTTTCAAGTTCATTAAAATCACCCTGGAAATCTCCTAAAATCTTTTTAATATCTTCTAGAGGTTCATCAATTAACTAAAACAAGAATGTCCACCAATAACTATACAAAACAGTAAAAAGTTATTACATCAGTGATGAACTATTTATCCTCTGTATGCACTGTATCGTCCAATATCTAGAGGCTGCATCGATTAACCAAAACAAACAGAACGTCCACTAAATATAAAATTATACCCCAACTATTCCACCTATCTCCATCGACTATCAATATCGTTGATCAGGAAGCTGTAGCAAGCATCATGTTCTTACGTATCCAGCAAGTTGACCGCATCGATGCGCAAACCGGAAACCACCCTCGGCTCCAGGAGCCAATCACCAAGTTTGCCGAGAGGGTAGTGTTCGTGTGTACGCCTGTGTATTCGTCGTGTGTTTACACGGTGGAACGTGATTGCACGTGGCCAACCGGAGTAACTAACCCCGTTGGTTATTGAATATAAATCAAGCCGTGATCGGTAAGTCATCGGTAAGTTCGGGTGCACCTGTGGCCCGCAGCGTTGACCGTTCTTGACGTACGGCTGCCTTAAATTGTTAATGATATTGCCAGATGGGAAGCTACGTTTAGGTCTGTCAGTAACAATGGATGAGGTACATGAATCCTAAGAGGAATCAGGTAGAAATTGGTGGAAGGCCAAGTGGATTGTATAATAGGGGATATTCGTTGAGTGTTGGGTTTTGAGGAGGGGAATGTGGAGGAAGAGGGTGGAGGTTTATTGAATTTTCAAAATGCCAATTATCACTTGTTTCTTACTAAATGTCACTTATTAAATGTCACTTTTCAAATGCCACTTATCAAATGTCATTTACTAAGAGTCACTTATCAAATGCCACTTATCAAATGTCGTTTATTAAGAGTCACTTATCAAATGTCACTTATGAAATGCTACTTATCAAATATTACCTATTAAATATCATTTATGAAGTGTCACTTATCAAATGTCACCTATCAAATATCATTTATCAGATGACACTTATCAAATGCCACATAGCAAATGTTACCTATCAAATATCATTTATGAAGTGTAACTTATCAAATGTCACCTATCACGTATCATTTATCAGATGACACTTATCAAATGTCACCTATCAAATATCATTTATCAGATGACACTTATCAAATGTCACTTATCAAATGCTACTTATCAAATGTCACTTATCAAATGTTACTTATCAAATGTTACCTATCAAATGTCATCAGGTATCATTTATCAGATGAGACTTAACAGATGCCACTTATCAAATGCTACTTATCAAATGTCACTTATCAAATGCCACTTATCAAATGTTACCTATCGAAAATCATTTATGAAGTGTCACTTATCAAATGTCACCAGTCAAATATCATTTATCAGACGATACTTA